TTTCTCTCTCTCTCTCTTTTTTTTTTTTTTAAAGAACTTTAAAAATATACATCTGGGCTCACCCCGCTGCATCATCCCAGGGTGGCTGAGCTCTGTGCGTGAGCGCCGGCATCTTGTGCTCATGAACCTGCTGACATAGGTGAACATGGGACTGATGAGCCGTCCTCCAGGACAGGGAGTCGGGATGGGGAAGGTCGGGTCTCTTAGGACAGATTGTTGCTCCATGAAAGGTGGGCGATCAGGGAGCTCACTGACATGGAGATCTCCCACCTGCACACGCTTGGGCTCTGTCCCTCAGATGGCAGGAGCCACCTGCAACAGCTGCCCCAGGGAGATATGGATGTCCTGTTCTCAAATACAAAAGATACCACCCCAGGTGAACAACACATTTCTTCATGATCTGCAAGAGACAGCCTCCAGGGAAGAGGAGTAAATGCACCTAATTGATGCTATTATCTCACTTTACAGTTGAAGAAACTGAGGCACAGAGAGAGAGAGAGGAAGTAACTTGCTCAAGTTCAAGGTGGCTAATGGTAGAGCCTGGATTTGAATTCGGGCCCTCCGCTTGGGGAGCCAGTGCTCTTAGCTGCTGCACTGAACGCTTCCAAGTAGTAGAAAATGGGATTAAAGCCTGCATATTGTATGTTCGTTATTCCCTTGAAAATATAGTTCCTTATTCAAACAAAACAAACAAGAGAAAACAAAAACATCAGAAAGGAAGAAATTAAACCTAGAAACTATTCGGTTGTAAAGATGAATGGTAAGCAAAGAAATTCCTGAACATGTAGGTACTCTAAATATTTACTAAAAAAAACTAATAATGATAACTAATTTGGAGTGTTTAAAAAAGAAAGTTGAATAAAAATATTAGACATTTAAACACATGGAAGATGGATTCTAAGGTCCTTGTATGGTTCAGGAGGAGGGTAGAAATACCGATGAAAATCCAAGTACTTATGTTAAAAATTGAAGTATAACCACTGAAAGCAGGGAAATCAAATGATTACTTCTAACCAGTGAACAGAAGAAAAAGGAGCGGAGGGGTGCCTGGGTGGTGTAGTGGGTTAGGTGAACGACTCTTGGTTTTGGCTCAGGTCATGATCTCAGGGTGGTGCGACTGAGCCCTGTGTGGAGCTCTGCGCTCAGTGCAGAGTCTGCTTGAAATTCTCTTTCTCTGCCTCTTTCCCTGCTTGTGTGATCTCTCTCTCTCCCTAAAATAAATAAATATTTAAAAAAAAGGAAAAGAAAAAGAAGTGGAGAATATTTTATTGGTCCAAAGAAGGGAAGAAAGAAGAGCAAAAAAGTACTTCCCTCTGCAATTAAAAAATGTTAAATAGAACACATAAAATAAAATGTTAAGACTAACTAAAAATATATTAGTGAGTTGGCTAAAAATACATAATCCCACTATGTTCATTTTATTCCTATTGCATAGCACATCAAAAACAAAATGTCATAAAAATATTGAAAAGCTTAACAAGGCAAATATTAACACAAACACTAATGCAAGGGAGGTTGGAATGGCCAAATTAATATCAGTCAAACAAGGTGTTAGGGCAAAAAAAAGTATTAATAGGAATAGAGAGTCATTCTATAATGCTGAAAGAAACAATTCATTATGAAGATATAATAATCTTCAGCTTTTAAGTTCTTAACATATTTCTAAATTATCTAAGTTAAAATTGCAAAGAATCACAAAAATAAAATGATAATTCTATGACAATAATGGAAACTTTTAGTAAATCTCTAATGGTAAGTCACCTAGAGAAGAAAATAAGAATTAAAAAAATTGAGTGTGACTTACTGGTCAAATTCTGAGCCCTCAAATTAGAAAAGACACCTTTAAAAGCTTATCTAAAATATTTGCAAAAAGTGATCATGTTCTAGGCTTTAATACAAGTCCCTACAAATATAATTCATGGTATTATATAGATCCCAATCTTTTTTTTTTTTTTTT